TCAGAACAGCAATAATTTTTAATTTTTTTTTAACTGGGCCCATCTCTGTTTCTGTAATAACTACAGCTATAAAACAACACAGCACTTCCAGAGACATACATGAATTGCTTTTACTGTCAGGACTTCACTTGACAATAGCCAAACATTCCTTAACTCCGAGCCAACCACAATTAATAAGCTAAAATTCAAAGCATACACCGGGACTCAAGGTTTCACAAGACATTTTTCCACTTCTAAAAACAAAAGGTACTGAATGGAAATGTATCTAATTATTTTTGCCATTTTCCCCAGAAGCAGCACAGCATTACATCAACAGAATTACTGCATGTACAGAGATGTAGGAGCATTCAAGTTTAAGGTCGCACAGCGCTAATTCATACTAAAAGTTTTATTCGATAAGCTCTACAGAAGTATTTCCTTCTCAATTCTGAAATACAGGAGGCAGCAAGAGTATTAATAGTATTAGCGTGACACGTACCTGCCACCCTCCTGCATTTGAAAAAAGCGGCATTAATGCTAATCTTTCTTACAGTAAGAGCAAAACAAGCAAGTTTCAAATGTTCCTCAGAACACTGCTCTGAATTTATCACTCATTGCCTGCAGCACTCAAGTTTGCACAGCAGGGCAAGAGTGGTGTACAATTTTGTGACAAAGAAAACTCCCTTCTACAAATTTGCACGCACCAGGAAAATGATTCCGAAAACAGCTGTTCCACAAAGCCCTACGGAAAACACTCTTCCAGAGTCATTACTCTGCTTTGGAAGGAGTCTCTTCTGGAAGAAAAAACAGCTAATGGAGATCCTGACACTTGTGGCCGCTGATTAAAGAAAAACACAGATAAAGCTATCACAGTCCCTTGCCACTAGTCCCAATGCCTCTGCAAAGAGCCCGCTCTCCTCCAAATAAGTGGTCCAATTTATTTGCTCATTGACTCCTCAGTCATTAAATTTTCAGGCTAGGCTATTATAATCAAAAAACGTCAGCCATCTAATTTAAGCCTCTCACTGCATCTTTACTCCAGTACCATCTTCATACAGACAAGCTTTAGTATGTTCTTTGGAAAAGTTTCCTAATTTCACTCTAGTTGCCACTGCACAAGGAAAATACCTTAGAAAAGCCTTTCCAATTGGGTCTTCACGGACTGATTTTCCAAAATTAAAGCACGATTTTGCTGATCGATCTTCTGGTAGGAACCTCCAGCGTGACCCCTGAGCTAGCATACACCATGTGTGCGCACAGAGCCATCCTGGGCAAATAGAACCAAATCCCAGATATTTATTTACACAACTGGATATCACTACTTAAACAACACATATGGGAGGCTGACTAGAAAAAGGGCAAACTAAACTTTTCCAAGAGAAAGTTCTCCTTCCTCATTACACTCAGCAAAAGGAAGAGATGTTTAAAAATAAATACATCACAAATGTTATCTTTCAAAGAGCCAGAAGAGAAAAGCTACAACTAATTTCAATAACTACTTTGCATCACCCTTCAGGTCTCCCCAGGAGCAATATTAATTAACGGGACCCTCAAAAAAAAAAAAGGGCAAGGAGGTGGCTATAGTCTCCTCATTTGTAACAACAACATCTAAGTAGGTCCTTCTGCCACCTGCCACATGAGAATGTGTTAGGTCACGCTGCAATAGCAGTACTTGCTTGGAGAAGTCATTTTGGAAGAAGTCTTAAGGATTTCTGCCTCATGACTACTATGACGGGTTGTACAAGACAAACATCAAGAAACTCACTTAATTCTAATGCCTAACCCAAGTGACCAAAAATCAAATCCGAAGAGTTTTATTTCTCTAGGAAAACGTGTCACTTGATAGGAACAACTTTGCATAAGGAATAATTTCATGTTTTCCAAAGAGATGATCTACTGAATAACATTGTAAGGGCAACTATGCTGAAGGCCAGTGTCAGTGAAGAACCAAACTCATGGATCTCAAAAGGATTTTTTAAAAAAAGCTAAATCAGGACTGAAGTCTTGATGTCTGTATCAAGTTTATTCCACCCTGACTTCCTACAACTTCAAAAAAATATACCAGAACCTTGTAACTTTGGCTTTAAAGAACCCAATCATAAGTCCCTCTCTGACAAGTAATGATGCTTTCTTTTGCAATACCTTATTTACAAGTTAACACATAATTTAGAGATAAACTACTGTAGTGCAAAGATTGTGTATGGATTTAACACCGCATAAAGTCACTTCATAATATAAGGTAAAGGCAAATACAGTATGTTTGCCTTGTCTAAGCTAAAAGGCTGTCTCTGCTACAGCCTGCAGGCAGTAAGGGTGAGGCTCGAAGACTTTTCACGTACCGCTTGTGTATTTATAACATTGCATGCACTGTGAAACATTTTCAGGTGGCTGTTTTCAGATCACGTAGGTTTCTTTTCTGTTTGTACTTCAGTATTTCTGTAATGCTCACATCTAACGCCTCCCTGGAATATCACCAGTATCTTTAAAGATCTGCATGTAATTAAAGTCAAACTCTCCCTGTAACTGCTTGTCAATAACTGGCTTATTTTGAAAGGAAATTTATACTTCACTGCTCAGAATTTTTAATTAGTTTTTAAATCAGGTAGTGTAGCATACACCAATGCAAAGAAATCATTTAATTTTCACTCCTAGCTTTAAGGACACAGAACCAGGGAAGACCCTTGGCAAAGCCACAAGAAATCTTCACTTTGGATTAACCTCTCTGGCCACAGGGTGCCTCTGCTGCTCAAAAAATACTCCGAAGCTGAGCAAATAGTTTTTGCTGGTTAATCACCAGCTGTAATCCATAAACTGTACTTGTGCGAGCTGAAATCGATCTGCTCAGGATAAAGGTAGGTCAATATTTGATCATCCTGAAGTGCTCTCATTAGCTGGGATTGTCAGTCCTGCAGAAGCAACGTTCACCTCGCTCAGACAAATCTTTCATTTACACTATGCTACAAAAAACTGATCCAGGCTGTCAGGCTTTGCATGCACCCCCCAACGCAGAGGACAATGAGTTTTTATCAAATTTCTATAACACAAACCAAGCCTGACACGATGCACTGCTCACCAGTAACACCATTCACAAAGCTTTTGGCATTCCTAAAAACTTCCACTGTGTGCTCACCCGGGCTCCTCAGTCTAGTTCTATCTTTTGGGCTCGGCCTCACACGTAGTCACCGAAGGTGTACACGTAAAAGTTTTCTAATCAACCAAGCTCTTATTAAACTGTCACAAAAAGCAGTTAATCATCTGGCTGAAGTTGGAGAATTCACAGGCAATGAAATCAAGTGATAAGGGAGCACAACAGCACTAAAATTTTAAGTACTAGAGAGCTGCGGCATTTTGGCTGGTTGCATTAAAAGTGCTCAGTTCAATCTCAATGGAAACAACGCCTCAACTGGAATATTCCCCCGGTATAGCACCGTCGGTATCTACATTCGTACCATATAAGCTCTACTTTAACTAGTTAACAAAGCATCAGCAAAGGTAGCACATCGTAAAGCCTAGCAGTGACGTAAAACTTTCCATGTCACTGGAAAAAAAAGTATGCAATGTTTCAAAGAAACAATTTTATCAGGTTTCATTTACTGCACTATGTACTGAGTGGATTCTTCCAGAGACATCTGATTTGCCATCCACTGAAGTATACAATGTCTAAACAGTCTCAAGTTACAGGTTACTTAAAAATGCTCTATTTGTATAGTCCTCCCTGAAGACAAAGCAAAGCCCAGCCTCTAATATATTGTTCATTTCTAAGTGATTAAACACTAGTATGAGTTTTTAAATTTATTTCTAACGTACCAGGACTACAAAAGTCACACAAAGAACATGATAAAGAGGCAATACAATGCAATCAAAGCAAGCAGACACTCGAGCTCTGAAAAAGACACTTCACTAACTCTTTATTTCAAGAGTTCAAATCATCTTTGCACACACAAGACTTCCATCAAGTTCAACAGGAGTCGTGTAGCCACAGTGAGTGCAGCAATGATACCCTACCGGCACGAACATTTCTGGACATAAAGCTTTGCAGTCTCATATAAATATTTACATCTGCCAGTTTGTACTGAATGCTCGCTGACACCGAATGCGAAGAGTTTCTAATGCTGGGTATGCGTATCCTTCATTCCACTTCATAGTGCAGCACCAAGCCCTTACCTTATTTATAAAGAAGGCTTTCAGCGAGGAAGCATATATTTTCTATGCATATGCATCAGCTTGCTTTCAAAGAGATTTATGCTAAAAAGACCTCCCTCACATTCAGATCTAGGTCTAAAATGCATTTAAAAGTGAATGAACTGCACTACATAGGAACGAGACAAGCTGTTCGGAGCAATCCTCTTTACATTTACACATTGACAAACACACACAGAAGCATAGGTGCATGTAAACGAAGACAATCTGCTTCAGAAATCCTACACCCAACCCAGAGTCAGGTTGCAGAGGTTGGGTGTGCGTGTGGTGGAAGACCCAGTTCTGCCGGGCTCTGCGAGGACCTGCGTGGTTTTTTTTAAGAGCACGGCAGTGAAAACAGAACAAACCCTGAAAAGGGGCCGGTGCAGATGATGACTGCACTCACGTTTTCCAGCGGTTTCTCTGAGGTTCCCACTTGCCTGTCAGGTTTAAGTGGAAGTATCCAGAGAACCGAAGATAGGCATTTAGGTATTTAGTTTTAGACCAGATATCAGATGCAATTAAGATACTACTGTCAGCCCAGCTCTGGGACAAGGAGACAGATAATTTGTAACACGTGCTCCCCTTCACATGACACACTGTGATTACAAGACTCAAGACACATACATTACTATTACCCCAACGCGTGCCAGTGTCCTGCCGCCAAGTTATTCAGCTGCTGAGGATGGAGTTGTAGGATAAAGCAATATATCATGACTAGCTACAAATGAGCAAAGAACAACCTCCACCCTTTTCTCACGAAACCCAAAATAAAACCCATCATCTTTAATTCCAGACAACCCACAAACCTCAATTTTCCCCTACAGGCAAAAATGATCACTGCATGATTGGGTTTTATTTTTTTTCTTTCCCCCCACCTTTTCATCTTACATTTGCTAACTCAAAATCCAAAGTCAGAAAAAATATATATATTTAGTCAAAAGTACGTCAGTTACATTTTATTAACCTACTCCAAGGGAAAAGCTTCAGGGATTCACCATACAAGTATAAAACCCCTTTCAAACACCTAGGGGTTACTATATTACTTCATCCCAGCAGTCAATCAATGCAGTAAAAAAATTAAAATACTGAAAATGGATGCTTTTCCCCTCTTCCACATGTCCAGTGATTGCTCCATTACAGTGTGATGAGGTCTACCAGGTTGCCTTTAGGAGGGGTCATGTTGTCTGGAAAGAAGTTGACTAGTGTATCAAACAGCTGAGTTCTCTGCGCATACGTGTGGTCAACATCTGAAAATCCTGGGGGAGGAAGAAAAGGGGAAAGCAAGTCAGTGCTCACTACTTTAAATGCTCAGTTTAGCTGTGGAGTATGCCAGTTGTCCATTTTGGACGGGTATTAACTATTTGCTACTTCTGCCTCAACTAACTAACAAGGCTGCCAGCTCTCTGTCGCACTACTATGTGCATATACACGCAGGGATCTCGTCACCCCAAGCCAACACTGCAATCAAAATGCCGTAAAAAGTAATACGCAAACAGCTGTCAAGCTCACTGACAGTCCTGAAGAAATGGGGGAAGCAAGAGTCCGCAGGGGACTGGCTCTGATGTCCCAGAAAACAAAATCTGTGTAGCTATTTTTATTTGGTGCCTCATTTCTTCTGTCCTCAGGCTTTCCTCATTATTTTCACTACGGTCTTAAGCAGAACTGGTACTTGTATTGCTTGCAGTTTTTCTTGAGATAAGCTCTGTTGATGGTAGGAGTCCCAAGTCAGAGATGCTATTTGATCACTGCACTCATACCGAGGACCCAGGCTGCATCTTGGCACAAGGGTGCTTCGCAAACCAGTTTTGTGAAGTGCCGCCTCCCAACAGGAGAGGGTTTAGTCTGCAGAAGCATTGTTTATCCAAATCCCCATACTTAAACCATCAACAGCAACAATAGAGCAGGCATACAACGATTTCCTCTGCTTTGTATTATTTCAATCACTGGTATCTCAAAGGAATGCTTTTTAATTCAGTGAACTCACTCTTCAGTTAATCAAAGTCAACCAAGTTAATCAAATCAAGGAGGGCTTGGGTTTTTTTGTTTTCTTTTAGAAGTACCACTTCATGTATGTATCCTCCTATCTGTAAAGCCAACCTCTGAATAAAGTATTGTATTGTGTCAAGAACTAATTCATCTTTTAAAACACTTAAAACTAGAGTAAAAACAACTTTCTGAAACTTGGGTTTTCTTCCTTTAAGAAATTCATCTTACAGCATGAACTAGATAACGTCTTCCAAACCGCACAAGCTCAGCAGAGCGTCCTTATCCAGCAAGGCTGATAGTGCAGGGGGCTTTTTTCTTCCCTCAGTTCCTTAGATTGGGAATTACATTTGTCAAAAACTGAAGTCATCCATGCTCCTAGCAAGAGCTCGGTAACTTGAGGACATTATTACAAGAATGTAGGTTATGCCTATAGCCTTCCTATAGCTTGCCCAGGATTACTCTCTCAACTGTTTAAGAGAGTTAACTGGATAGAATAGTGAAACAAATTATGGCTTTGGCTCAGACCTCCTGTTTCCAGCCCTACACGCCACTGTTTTCTTCACTCTTGACATTCTGCCCAAAGAACTAGTTTTGCAAAGAACAGAGCGAACCAAACTACTCCAGGAATTGCAGTTATCACAGCAAACAGAGCCGTAGCCATGCTGTGAGATTCCAAAGTGACATGACAGGAGGTGCTGCATTCTGACCAAAGCTTCTGTTTATTTGGGTAACAGTGAAGCATCAGATGTAATAAGAGACAGAAAATGATTCCCGGGAGGTATGGGTTTAAAACCGCTGGTGACAGATGTTTTAAATATGGGCTCGAGGCATTGGACACTGGTCATTATAAATAATCTCTCAAATGTCTAAGTAGTGGCACCAAAAAGGGCCTACAATATTCATACGAACTATAACATTTGATATAAAAAAAACCAGTAGAAACTAATAGTAATGATCTTTATCGGAGAGAACATACTTAGTATAATTCTTCTGATACACAATACTCACCAAGAGTGGTGAAATCCGAGCCAGACTTAAATAATGCTGAGGCAAGAAGCTGAAACTGCAGAAGAGGAGGTGGAGGGACAAAAAAAAAAAAAGTGTTATTAACTGCACAGAAAAAAACCCAAAAGATTCATAGATGTTCAAGTGGCTTTAGAGTTGCCAGGTTTTCTTTGCACAATCCTTAGAACTACGGTGCCATTCATGTGAATAACAGCAGCGGACACTTTCATATGAGTAATAAAATTTGTCACCTTGGCCGAGCAAGTTGGATGGTTTTTCCTAGAATTAGAGCAGCATTGATGCAATGAAAGGTACTTGACTGGGAGCCCTAAAAGCTAATTTTTTATATATACTTCTTGGCCTCTCTGGCAGATATCACAGTGCAGAAATAAGATAGAGCCTCTTCCACACAACAACGTTCTCAGGGATGAACGTGGTACCGTCTCAGCGAGCAAGGATTAGATGGCATGAAAACAGGGTAACCGCTACAGTGCGGCATGAACTTCGTGAACACAGAGAAAGCTTTAAATGGCAACAACCTTTCTGAACTGCCAGAGAAGCTCATATTTAAGTTTAAGGCAACGTCTTTTTAACTGAAAAAAAAAAAAAAGTTCCTTGCTTGGGAACATGAGAATCGCAAGTAAAAACGTTTCAGGTAACACATTCACGGTTTTATTCTCCGTTTACGTCTTACTGACAGACAGTGAACACAGTATCTTCCTCTGCTCCTGGCTACTGTTTTCAGTTACCCATGTTGCAGCAAAGCTTAGTGCTTTGTCATGTTTCCTTAAAGAATTAGCCGATCCTTAAAGAATAAGCCGATCCCTTAAAGGCTTGTAATCTTTTGTCTCCTGTCTGTGTGTCTTTACAGCACACAGCTGGAAGGAAAGAAGGGGGGGGAAACAGAAGAGAAGCAAATATGTACAGGGAAGGAGTGGGAAGAACAGCCAGGAATTACACATCCACCAGTTAAATTTCAATTTCAAGAAAAAAAACGAACACAGACAATTTGAAGGCATCTAGGAGTGGACAAGGTGATGAGTAGCAGCCAGTGTGGATTTGGCAACAACACATTATATCACCTCAATCTGATTTCTTCCACAACAGGGCAGCAGGCCCTGCGGATGGGACTTGGCAATAGACATTGTCCATTTGACTTTCATAGGACTTCTGATACTTTTATATGATATTTAAGGCAAATTATCGAGGCATCACCTAGATTAAGCTAAAAGGAATGGCAAATAGGTCAAATAACTTTAGTGTGGGTAGCCATCAATGGTTTAACATCAAAATGGAACCATGAATCAGAAATGATTCATCTGTGCCCCAGGGTCAGCATATTCTGGGTTTTCAGTGATAACCTGCTTGACAGAACACAACACGTTCACTGAGTCCACAGACCTTATTATACCACGCTCAGACAGACTGCCAGCATGGTAGCAGACAGGCTTCAGACTGTTTTTCCATTTCATCCAGCTTGATCCATGATGGATCAAGGTGCAATTCACTAGGGCCAAGCGCAAATCAACACAAACCATGATGGATCAAGGTGCAATTCACTAGGATCAGGAAAAATCAGCTGTACGAAACAGGTTAGGGTACACAGGCTCTGTGAAAATGCATTTAGGAGTTATAATAGATCAGTATCATCCTATTGTAAAAATGACAAATGCATAGAAAATGCATGAAAAGGAGTAGGATCTTCAAATAAATAAAGTACTCCTGCTGTTATCAAGGCTCCTAAGTCTCATCTACAACAAGGCAACATTTGGATGCCCCGTATCAATTAGCAACATATGAGGAAAGCACTAGAAAAAAAATCAAGTAGTCTGAAAATCAAGCTCTATAAAAAAGGAGTCAAGGTTGCAGAGCCTCCACAGAAGAATGTCCAAGGATGAAACTGCAAAAAGTCACAAATGTAAAAGGCCAGTACAAAAAGGTAAACCTACAACTAAGTGCAAGAAGCCACAAAAACACTTCAGCAAGATCAGTTTCAACTGACATCAAGGAAAAAAAAAACTAAAAACAGTCTAAAATAAGGACCGTAGTGGGCCGCAGTAAGTTTGCATCTTTTGGGGAGGCTATCAGGGGAAGCTAACACTGGAAGTTTTTAAGGTTAGAAAGATACAGGATTGACAGACTGCAGAACAAGGGGAAGAGGTTGATTAAGTACCCTCTTGAGTGAGAGGTCTGGTTGTATGAAATCAAAAGGGATTGCAATGCTACATATCTATTGCACTGCTAGTGTAACTTGTAAAAGTTGTTTGGCTCCGAATCAGCAACGTTACTTAAACAGATGCCCAGCATAAATAGCTCCAAAAGTTCCAATGAAACCAGTAGCTAAATCTGTGCTGCTTCTGATAGCGAATGCCATGTCCTGGCTATCTTTCCTGCTCACGCAATTGCCTTACGGGCCTGCCTTTCCTGCTCACGCAATTGCCTTACGGGCAATTGCCAACTGCCTGGTAGCACACGAAGCTGGCTATGCCATGACAAAGCAGATGCCACATGCTTCAAGGGGTTCCCTTGCCTCCCCCAGCAACGCCGGCAGCCATCCTGCTGTAAACAGAAAGCAAGCTGTGCTTGAGGCTGGGTCTCAAGATGCTCAACTAAGAGACCATACAAGCAGGATGCAGGATGCAGCTAGTAACTTCCTGAACCGAGACCAAAAAGGCATTGAAAAGACCCTCTGCCAAATATTCCAGCCTCATCTGCACTACGCATGATGGATTTTCATGGCTGCAAGTTTCCTTCCAGCTTTGTAGGGAAGGATTATCTTCTCTCCTTCTTCACTGATGACACCGCACTTCAGTTAACCTTGAGGTTTGTTCTTTGTTACGAAATTGTATTTTATGTATCATCTCACATTCAAAAAGCACTTTCTGGATAGAAAAGTCAAGCACATCAGTTATGGACAGCACTGAGCCTAAGCTGGTTCACTCTGCATTTGCATTACAATGCCAGCTAACCCTGTGACGTTCCCCCAGCTCGTAGGACGGTTACTGCTTACTCAAGACCAGGTCTCCTACACACCGTTCACAGCACGTATCCAATGCAGTATTTTCTTCATGAAGTTCAAACTCTGCTCTAAAGAAGGAATTTATTTCTTCATCATTTTTTCTGTTGTATTAATTGTTATCATAACACATAGCACTTCAAACTCTGATTAATTTTGGGTCCCCTATTTGAAACTACCAGGATCCGATTTTTCAGAATACTTAGTATTACACAGCTTCTTCTGAATTCACTTGCAGCCAGAAGAGCAAAGCCCTCAAGCAAATCACACCTCAGATCTCTCCCATCAGGCACCAGGATGAAAGACCCGATTAATGACCATCTAGGAAAAACGATTTGCTTAACGTCACATAGTAACTCTGGTACAGAGGCAGGACCAGAATTCAATTATCCCGCAGAAGCACCCAACTGCTTTAATCACATCACCACCCATTTTCTTCCAACAATCCCTTTGGCTCACTGGCTTCATCCACTCCAAATTAAGCCTCCATTCAAAAGAAAACAGTTCCCTTCCTTATACAATTAACTTCTCTCCTGGAGATCCAACCCAGCTTCCAAACCGAGGCAGGGGCTCCTTAGAGATAAATACATCTGGTTAACTAATATAAGGCTATATTAGTTATGCATCTGGTGCATTAGTTATATATATCTGGCTAACTAATATAAGGTTAACTAATATAATCAACCACATTCAGAAAGAGGCCAAATTAAGGCTACCTGGGTAATATTAATTCTGGCATTTTCCAACTTACGGCCTTCATGTTTCCAACATTATTGTTCTTTTAGCAGTTGTGTGTACTTTATCTAGGTTTCTACCTACAGCAAAAAAGCAGTTCTGCCACGTGGCAACCCATGCAAGTTTTAGTATATTTGCTGCACGCCTCTGCCTTTTGCGCAAATTAAACTGTTAACACTAAGGGGGAATGAGTAACTCCTGTTTGGGATACCCGGCAGGTCGTATGAATCAGGCACAATTCCTCCTCCGTAATGTCTGTACGGCGAGTGCTCAGATCACAGCGTAAAACGGTTTCTCAGCTTTGACCAGTTCTGTCGGAATGGTGCCTCATAGCGTAGGCTCAAAGAAGCAACGATAAGCTCAAATTCTTTGAGGACGGAGCCGACACTAGCTGAAGTTGGGAAGGCTGAACGCTGTTTTTGTAAAGGCTCCTTGGCTCTAAAGCCTCTGCTCCTGCAGCACTCAGACTCTGAGGCTTTACAAAGAATCACAGCAGGACACGAAGAAGAGAAGCATGCTTTTCTTAGCTCCTTCCTAGAACTATTTTTCCCATTTGGGCTTCAATTTTCCCAGAAATATCAGTCTAATGCAGACTCAAACAATACTTTTGGGCCCCGCTGGCTTTATCTGGCAAATTTATTACAGACAAGGTCTTAAGAATGGAAAGTATGAAGCAGCCTTGAACAGGGGCCTCCAGCCTCAGCCTACAAGCTAGTCAGGCCTCAAATTGGCCTCCAGGTCCTTGCTCTTTCTCCTGCCATGCTCCAAGAAAAACATACTGCAAGTTTTACTTGCACTTTGTATCTGGTTTACAGCAATCATGGGATTGAGCTTCATCAGTAGTTGAATCTCAATCTCCATGTACAAAATCACCTTACTCTCCTTTACTCGGGCAGCACTGGCCATTTTTTGTATCGTCTTGATTTCTTCTATAGCCCACTAAGTTCTGGGTTGATTACTCCGGTGTTCAAAGAACAACACCTTTAGCCTTGTATGTGATCTACTGATGTTTCTGTGCTTTAATAGCACGTGTTTTTTCCTTGACATAAGTACAAAACTTGGAATCCATTTTGATTTTCTATTTTGACCATCCTTTTACCTTTAAAAGCTTCTACTTCCGAACCACCACCAAATGCACATCTGCGTGTATATGACACAGAACACCCATGTCACCAGAAATTTTTACACCAACAAATGCCAGTCTTTCATACAACTTAAATCTCTCCATGAACTAGAATACATGCACAAACTTCCATGTGCTCTGGGGATCTACCTTCCTTTACATACAGTGTCAGAGCTATTAATCCACAGCCAGTAAAAAAAGATTCACTGATCTGAAAACACTGAACTAACTGAAGAGGTTTAAGCAACTTCAAGCAGAATCACAGTTAAAGAGAACTGGATCTGCATTTGTGGGCAACAGCAGGAACAGAGCTGGCATAAAGCCTGTGGCTACTAAAACATGTACCCGTACGATAGCCATTACTTGCAGGCATCTACTTCACTTTAGAACAATAAAAAAGGAAATAAAACTATAATCCTATTAACATCCCTAAAATTCACAACAAAGGAACCAAAATCTGGGGGTATGTTCCTACTGTCAATCATTCATGCTACTTTAAACAAAACTGGTTACTAACGACAAAGTTTCAAGAACAGTCTGTTTATTTTCTTTGGCATCCAACTCAAAACAGCTGAAGAGGCTTGCCTAACAAAGTTAGAAGAAATTACTTCTATTATAAGGCAAGTAAGCCTTACCTCAAAGTGAAATTCTGCTTGTAATATTATATAACACTACCCATATCTCAATCCATAAAACATGAAACCATATAGACTGGTCTCTAAGAGAACTGTAGCATAAAGTCGACGATAAACCTATTCAGCTTGGTCCTTCCAAAATTTAACAGTTGCCTTGGAGAGAGGGAGAAGAACAGGGAAAAAGCAATTCCCTTAAGACTTGCGACGCTAAGATGCCTTACAATGTTCAGTGCCTGTAGGCAGCACAGAGCAAACCAATCAGATAACTAATTCAGACGATCTCAACTACAAATAAAGACAGAATATGTAGGTGTCTGGGCTGAGATACACAATCAAACTGGGGGTTGAAAGTTGATATGGAATCCAAAAAGCCTGTGTCAGTCCTTTGGAAAACACAAGAGCTATTTGAAGATGTAGTAACAGAGCAAAAAGCCAACTCAATGTGATAACCAGAAGGTAAATTGACGTCAACTGGAAAGACACCCAGTCAGTACCAGTGCAGTAGCTGGCTCTGTGCCATATACCTGGCAGATCTGTCCAGCGTAAAAAGCTTTGAAAGTTAAAGCTTTTTGACCAGCACAATTTGGAAAGAAAAAAACCCCAAACAAACCCAAACCCAAAAACAAAACAAAAAACCACCCATAAAACAAACAGAAACAAAAAAACCAAACCAAAACCAAAACCAAAAACCCAACCCACAAACAAAAAAGCCTCCCAGAAATCGTTAAATGTTTTTAGGAGACCACTGGAACCGAAGCTTTAATTCTGCTGAGCGGTATGTGTTGATCCAATGGACCAACACGATGGACAGAAGCTACTGAATTTTGTTCGGATCAGACATTAGGCCTGCAGAGAAAGGATTCACAATATATTCACTCAGTTGGACTGAGCCTACCTAAGCTCATACACCGGATCATTAACTTGCAGAACATCAGTACGCTCTGTGAAAAGGGCTTTTTTTTTTTTTTTTAAACATTTTATTCTATTTCTACCCTGTGTGATAAAGCTACTACTTTTCTCCAAAATCTCAGAGGAGTCCACGCTGTCAGGTAAATTCTTCATTGTTACAGGGCGGACAAGTTAAATACTACACACTGAACTGGGAACATCAAATGTAGAATATTACATTATTTCCAGATGTGCACAATGCGCAGCCAACATGGCAGTTCCTTTGGTCTGCTGGTGACAGGAGGCAGCAAGAACTAAAAGGAGAGGAGCTTGCTGATCACACCACAAATGTTTTCTATTCAAGCAATAAAAAGGCACAGCCAGCCATGAGATGCAAGATCTCGTCAGGAGTAACTGGCCAAAGAGAGACATGGCCTCCACAGGCGCGACGGGGCTACCAGAAGGCAGGTATGACATGGAGAAAAAGTGAGATCAGAGAACACAGGACGCAGTCTTATAGTGGGTGGGAGGGAGAAGGGGGGAAGAGAGCATCAGAATGGTGGTTGTATGTTATAGGTTATTACAGGTTCAGCTAGGAAGAGGAAACTGCTACGATACTGGTAAGACAGGGCATAATTGGGCTGAGCCCCCTTGAAGCATGCTGCATGGGGGAAATCATCTTTTCCAGCTGAAGAAAAGCAGGATTATCTGTTATTTGTCTTTCCTATGCTAGAAATGGCTAGAAAAGATGTGAAAGTACTTGATATGGGACAATTTCAGTGACAAACCATCTAACAGAGAACTTATAGGCACAGCACTTAAGTGTTTTATTGGACTTGATGTTTATAAAAGGCTAACCAGAATTTATGACAAATGTAACCAGTTCCAAGATCCTGATATTAGTGAATATTTTTTCTTGATTTTGCTAACCCTACAATCCTATACTGTGCATATGCAAAACAGATATTCCCCCAAAAAAAGCTTTTAGTGCCTGTATAATGATTTTTTCTGTCTCTAAAGTAATGAGTTAAACCCAACAGATTAAGTGATTTAATCCAGAGTCTCAGCATGGAATAACAGCACCCATTCTCCTATCGCAGTTTTATAAAAGCAGCTGTCAAATCACTTCCAAAGTCATTAACGCAAGAAGAAAGTAAGAACCATGGTCTCCCCTCCCTCATCTACCCATCAGGAGTTGAACGCTTGTACATCCAGCTGGCTGCCACAAGTTCCATGTGGAAATTAATGGCAGAGTCAAATCAACCACCTTATCTGACACTTCTCACTATTTCTTTAATCCTTTTTGTAAAGCAACACGTACTGCGGTAATGGAATCAAAACAGGAAATGGGAACAAATTCCTGGAACAAATAAAAGAACATGCCTACTGGATAATATTCAAAAGGCAGAGGAAATAAGAGTTTAAGGTTAGCAAGCAATGTATATACACAGTCTACTTCCAGAAATACTTATCATCTAGAGAAAAACCTCTTTCCTCCCCCAGAGCTATTTAACATTGACAAGCCAAAAGGCAGCGTGAATAAGAGTTTCTATTCACTTTCTACCACACAACCAACTACAGACTTGTGACATTTCAGAGAGTTTACATTTCAATTAAAGCTCCCAAAATACACACCAGTACGTTGGAATTAAAACAAAGGCCTAGTCTTCACTATTATGAGTGCAAAAGCTATTTTATCTGGAACTGCAGTTGTAAAATGACTGTTTCTAAAGCGGTATGATCTTCAGTGCGGAGAAATATATGATATAGTAAAGTGTCATGCACCTGTAGAGCTTTTTCAAACGGAATAAAAACAAGGTTTAAGAGGCTTAAAGCTTCCACATGAGAACACAGTTCACATTTCTTTATAAGTAAGACAAAAATCATTCATCACTACCTCTTTTGTCTCCTCGGGGTCTGAGTGATCCACAGTTACATACAAATCATTCTGCAGGTACTTCAGTGCACTAAGAGGGTCAGACTGAGCTTTTTCTTCAAACCTGCAAAGAAGAGACAGAAAACATGAGTGCAACCATTTCCTTCAGGACTAAGTATACTATTTCTATAAAGAGCAAAACTTATCAAACGAAACTTTCAGCTAAATATTTCCAAATAAAACAATGTTAATGGCAGCTTGGCCTCGTATTTGCTGGAGTACGTGCTTTCAAGCCAGACTGAAACACAGAGGAGGGTTTTTTGGGAGTATGAGAGTTAGAACGGCAAAGTATTACACTCTTACTAAAAATGTTCAAAAGCATATGTATAGCAACTTCGTAATACATAAATATAAAACATTTAGTACAGTTTGTTTTCCACAAATAAAGGTATGAGTAGCACCTCATGTGAGGAGCACAGTTTAGATACAGGCAAGCCTTGAGCACTCCAGTCCCAGGGATATTTATATTCCGGACTGCGCAGAAGCGTAACTGGAAGTACAGGGATGGAGAATGCTCTCTGCTTCTGCCAGACAACAGAAAAAGAGACGATGGAGGTGAAAACCCCTGAATTCAATCAATACTGTGCCTTAATATCCCACCTTTGGAAAGAGCACATGTACGTAAAAATCCTGTGCACCACCACCATTATTTTCTCATTTTCTTTTAATGAGCAGAAACTGTAAGTTCTGTGAATTCCCTGAAGAAGTTAATATGGCCCTCAGAAAAT